AGAGATGTTCCGATCTCTGTCCTCCCCATAAAGTACTGAACAAACTGACAACAGTTAAGGATGTTGAGTTTGGGAGATGTGTTACTAGTAGTAGTAGTACCCTGTTGTGATATAGCGTATAGTGTTTCTAGATGTCAGGAACATTGCTCTTTAAAACGAAATATATTAGAATACCACGAAAACCGTTCTGTGACTAACACACCAGTCTCTACAAGTGAACAAGTATAGTCCATAGTAATGTTATTAATCAATTCCTTGAAGCTAACGAGTAAAGTCCATAGGTATGTTATTCAAAAGTTTCTTGGAGTTAACAAGTAAAGTCCATAGTTATGTTATTAATCAGTTTCTTGAAGTTAACAAGTAAAGCCCATAGTAATGTTATAAATCAATTTCTTGAAGTTAACAAGTAAAGTCGATTATAGTTATGTTTGTAATCAGTTTCTTGAAGTTAACAAGTAAACTCCATACTAATGTTATTAATCAGTTTCTTGAAGTTAACAAACAAACTCCATACTAATGTTATTAATCAGGTTCTTGAAGTTATCAAGTAAAGTCCATAGTAATGTTATTAATCAGTTTCTTGAAGTTAACAAGTAAAGTCTATAGTAATGTTATTAATCAGTTTCTTGAAATGAACAAGTAAAGTCCATAGTAATGTTAATAATCAGTTTCTTGAAGTTAACAAGTAAAGTCCATAGTAATGTTATTAAGCAGTTTCTTGAAGTTAACAAGTAAAGTCCATAGTATTGTTACTAATCAGTTTCTCGAAGTGAACAAGTAAAATCCATAGTAATGTTATTCAAAAGTTTCTTGAAGTTAACAAGTAAAGTCCATAGTTATGTTATTAATCAGTTTCTTGAAGTTAACAAGTAAAGTCCATAGTAATGTTATTAATCAGTTTATTGAAGTTGACAAGTAAAGCCCATAGTAATGTTATAAATCAGTTTTTTGAAGTTAACAAGTAAAGTCGATTATAGTTATGTTTCTAATCAGTTTCTTGAAGTTAACAAGTAAACTCCATACTAATGTTATTAATCAGTTTCTTGAAGTTAACAAGTAAACTACATACTAATGTTATTAATCAGGTTCTTGAAGTTATCAAGTAAAGTCCATAGTAATGTTATTAATCAGTTTCTTGAAGTTAACAAGTAAACTCCATACTAATGTTATTAATCAGGTTCTTGAAGTTATCAAGTAAAGTCCATAGTAATGTTATTAATCAGTTTCTTGAAGTTAAAAGGTAAACTCCATACTAATGTTATTAATCAGTTTCTTGAAGTGAACAAGTAAAGTCCATAGTAATGTTATTCAAAAGTTTCTTGAAGTTAACAAGGAAAGTCCATAGTAATGTTATTAATCAGTTTCTTGAAGTTAACAAGTAAAGTCCATAGTAATGTTATTAAGCAGTTTCTTGAAGTTAACAAGTAAAGTCCATAGTAATGTTATTAAGCAGTTTCTTGAAGTTAACAAGTAAAGTCCATAGTATTTTTACTAATCAGTTTCTTGAAGTGAACAAGTAAAATCCATAGTAACGTCATTCAAAAGTTTCTTAAAGTTAACAAGTAAAGTCCATAGTTATGTTATTAATCACTTTCTTGAAGTTAACAAGTAAAGTCCATAGTAATGTTATTAAGCAGTTTCTTGAAGTTAACAGGTAAAGTCCATAGTATTGTTACTTATCAGTTTCTTGAAGCTAACGAGTAAAGTCCATAGTAATGTTATTAATCAGTATTTTTGAAGTGAACAAGTAAAGTCCATAGTAATATTATTCAAAAGTTTTTTGAAGTGAAAACGTAAAGTCCATAATAATGTTATTCAAAAATTTTTTGAAGTGAAAACGTAAAGTCCTTAGTTATCAGAGGGGTACGGGCGTTGGGGCCAGAAAAATATTTGTACCCTCAATTATTGTACCCCCACTTTATCTCTAAGAAGTTCAAAATTTGTTTTTATACGTTTTTAGTCCTATTTTCGATTCGACCTCTATTTTCTTTTATTTCAATAGTGTAGATTATTTGCAGTAAATGCTGATAACATTATACGATATGAATTACACATGTTCAGTACATATTACATAACAGAACAGATTATCAAAAAAAAAATAGTTCTATAGTGGACAGAAAAAGACTGAGAAATATAAATAGGTGACAGGTATAGCAAAGATGAGTATCGTCTTCATTCTTCTAAGATCATGATACGATTCTTTTTAGATGGTAGAGTTAATTGGTCCCGATTGTTTTTGTTATATCATTGAGTTTCCATTGGGTAATTTTATAGAAGATCTAAATAGAAAAGAAAAGGAAAATTAGAAAAGGGAAGAAGAAGAAGAGGAGCAAAATCATTGAACAGCGTGGTGATCTTAGATTTTGTAAAAGAAGTTTATTGGTGCTATTGTCTTCAGAAAATGCAAATTTAATGGTTAGTTTTCTAAATAGAGGGAACTAGTAGGCTATTATTAGTTATTTGTGTATCTGAAATAAGAAATAAGTTGATAAGAAAGTTGTACGTCATACCGTCTTGTACGGGTCGAGCAGTGCGCATTCCAGAGGAATCCCAGATACATGCGTAAATGAATGTGGGTCATATATATTTTTATTAACATAATGAATTATGTGTTTTGCGATGCTTTTGCCTAAAGAAAACATTAAACAAAATACTATGTTATAAAAGTAAAACAGCACTAATGTGTCTATGGGTTTTTAATATTGCACACGGGACTTGGAATAGTGATATCACGGTGATTTGGTACCGTTGCTGTGACGTTGGAGATCTCAGCCCACCTGTCTTATCTTATCTGTTTGAAGAAATGTCAGAAAACAAATCTTAGTGGGGCTTTAACTACGGTAGGAAGATGTTGGCCTTTTTGTGTGGTTTGTCGTTTATATCTGTAGCTTTATCAGCAACACCATGTTGTATTGATAGAGAATTCGAAGCTGATTTAGGTGTAATTGGTAGCAATTATGGTGGCCGACATTTTAATGCGTTCGAGGTATTTATTTCTTTAATTTGGTTCATTCTTATCATGGTAGATGTGCCATAATGTTACTTTTGCAAATTATTCTCTGTATTTCGGGTAGTTTTGAACCTCTATCAATATAAAACCAACTTCTTTGTCCGTGAAAAAAACAGTTTCAATATTTTTACAAGCCTCCTAATCGTTGTTTTGTCTCCAATCACATTTCAAGGCGAAAATGGCATATATTACAATTCACAAAATGATCGTTTGAAACATTTTCCAGGGAGTATCGAGTATTTCAACAGATACACACGCTAAAATGACAAGTGTTGATACGCATGTCTTAGTCAATGGTAGTATATTTCATACCAAAATCGTACTAGATTATATAAACGTAAGTCTTTCACACACATTTAAGGCAACTTGGAGTAATTTGAAAATGGTATTTTGTTTGTCGCTTTCCCATTATAAAGCTTCGAAAGATTCTTATGATGATAGCTTAAATATTAATTAAATAAAAACTTGTTTTAATATATATGGGTATATTTGTCACAATATTACGTGATTTCTTTCAGCATAGAGAATATTTGGTAGTAAATGGAGACTGCAACGTTTATGAATTGCACGTACCAGCACGTGATCCTTGCATTCCAGGTTTGTCAGTATTCATATCACAAATCATATCACAAATAATATTAAAAACTTTATCACAAATCATATCAAATTGAATACTCTTTATAAAAATAATATATTTTCTGATCAAATTAAAGATGAATGCCATGCCTTAACCACGTTATTAACGGTAAGAACTCCTTTCAGATAATGCAACACATTTAAGAGAGACTATATATGGATATGGTACCAATACATTATATGCTGATGTGTGGGAATATACTAATCCATATACAGGCGGTCAAACCAGGTTATCAGTAACTAAAGAATGTGTCCCACTAGTAGCTACCAGATATAATGCTCATTCACCAGTTGCAGGTATATTAATATCGTAATATTGGGTGGTCAAGAAAAACGATAACCCTTTTCATTTCAGGAGTAATCATCATTTAATAATCTTGAAATGAAATGTGTTATCGTTTTTCTCGACTATAACATTAATGCTACGTTTACGCTATGTTCCTGGCAATCACGGGTCAGGCCACCATAGGGAAAAGCGGATGAACGTGAGAAAAAGCGGGAGCGGGAAACGCAAACGTGACAGACCGTAATTGCCATGGATGCCGGGTCAGAATTTTAAACAGTCATAAAATTTGTCACGGCAGCCATGGTGCGGTTGAGAAACGAAATAGGCCGTTGTAGAACTGGATAAACGCTTCAGAATATGACAATACATAAAAGGATGTTACGAACTTGGAAGTAGTCCGTAGTTGGACATCGTATGTATATCCCGGGATCTGAAGTTCGTTTCCACGTTGTGTTCCGTTTTGTCATGATTCTCACGTCAATCTAGGGTGAACGTTAGCCGTATCGTTATGGTACGTCCCGATGTGTGACGCATTGCAGCCGGATAATTACGGTACATTGAGTTCTGCTACGGTCTGACACGTCTAAACCGTTAGGAAACTTAGAACAACGAAACAAAAATGGCCGAACTCCCATAGCGCAATGCGTTAAGAACAAACTTGGTTGCAGTTGCCACCAGGAATTAGTGTAAAAGTAGCATAGGGGATAAAACCACACACGAGCATCCTCTGCACTATTGTGGGCTAAACAATTAACACCCGATTCCATAATAATGAAAAATTGACATATCTTAACCCTGCTTCTATATTTTAGGAGGCCAGCCTCAAGATCTTGTTTTGATATACAGTAACTTCAGAGTTGGTATTAAAAGTAGACATGTATTTAATATACCTAAGCAGTGCGCCAATAAACCTGTTAAGGTAACATTTGAACTGAAATTAATTTAGGGTATATGGTAATGAGAAGGCAAACTTTCCTTTCATTTATCCTGAGATCATGGATCATTGTATAAGCTTTCTTTCATTTTACTTCAGTCGAATCCATGTCAGGTTGTTTTCCTTGAGAGCGGAAAACTCAATTTACCACCGTTTACTTGACAAACAAAACCGATGTAAGACAACTTGACTGAATTAAATTCTTCATCTTAGCAATATTGTTTCTGTTATCTTTTCAGAAAGCACCAAATAACAGGATTCCTTTTTTCTGAAATGCTTAATATTTTAAGATGAATAAATTTAATTTACACCCTCTTTGTTGTTATTTGAAAGAAAAATGAACTCGGTCCTCGAAATTTTCTCTATCCCAACAGCCATCACTTTCCATGTAAAAGAAATATATCGGGAGCTGCGTCATTTCCGGCTAACTCTTACTGGAATCACAGCAAACGGACGAAGTATTTGAATGTCCGAAATTGAAGTCAAACCTCTTTACAATCCCTTTAATATTGAATACGGTTATATGTATAGAGGATCGACTTGAACCCATTCAATAACGCCATTGCAAGAAGGTGTCAAACTGACAGAATTTCAACGGTAAACAACCATTTGGAATTTAACAAATGATGATACCGGCTACTGGGTTTCTTTCCGAAACGTATTTAAACCCCTGCAACATGTTGGCGTATAGATAAAAGATCCTTACCGGAGGTTAAGATGTCTTAAGATTTCAGATTAAGGGAATTAAAATTGATAAAGATATATGGCAGTAGTAAGCCATCATGAGCGAGAAAAGCGAAGAGAAGGGAGTTAAACTAAAAAACCCAAACTTTATTGTATCTTAATTCCACTAAACTAATATAGCATGCTCTCTTCCCGGAACACCTGTGTCACTGTTACGTGACTTGGTATGTCAATTCGGCAATTCTTTCGGAGATTTCATACAGCTAATATTGTTTATTTGGTACAGTTGTTTCCCGGCCACTCTGCTGCTGGTGGACAAGATTGTAGCCATGTCCATTCTTCAACCTATTAGTTTTTTGTCTTTCAGAGAGTTCACATGGCTATTTTTTTATAGTTATATCTATTACCTTATAGTTGTCATTGAACAAGTTTTTTTTTATTTTTCTGTGCGATTCATAAAATGATGATTGTAAATAAATTGCAGGGAGTATCGAGTATTTCAACAGATACACACGCTAAAATGACAAGTGTTGATACGCATATCTTAGTCAATGGTAGTATATTTCATACCAAAATCGTACTAGATTATATAAACGTAAGTGTGACGCAGGGTTGTTAAAACATTAAAGAGTTTTTTTTTAAATTTCGACTTTATACTATATTTTAAAATAGATTTCATGTCCTAGATGACAATTACCGGAATAACATTGCGCTTGTGACTTTCACGTCGTTCTGGATCACAAACCAAAGGTCAACCCACTGTTAGATCCGAAATAATTTTTTTTATTTTAACTGAAGCTTCAATCTGGAATAATGATTGCTTGACAATTTGTAAAGCCTTTGTTTCAAAACATTATAGAAATTACAAATTACCTTTTTCTACAATAGCCGTAACTTGTATTACGGAGTATTTGGTAGTATATGAAGATTGTGATATTTATGAATTGAATGTACCAATGCAAGATCCTTGCATTCCGGGTGGGTCTTATAATAGATAAATTGGTGCTAATGCAATATGTAAAAAATGTGAAATTGAAAATAGTTCCGTAAAATAAAGGCAGAGAACTACTTTCAGATAATGCAACACATTTAAGAGAGACTATATATGGATATGGTACCAATACATTATATGCTGATGTGTGGGAATATACTAATCCATATACAGGCGGTCAAACCAGGTTATCAGTAACTAAAGAATGTGTCCCACTAGTAGCTACCAGATATAATGCTCATTCACCAGTTGCAGGTATATTAATATCGTAATACATAATAATACCTGAATAGCGGCCTTGGTGCTTTAGATTTATTTTAGATGATTGACCATATTAGTATAACAACTATTGTAAGTTTAAATGAACATCTACTGCATTATTGTGGGCTAAAATGGCCATTCGTGACGCACTTTTGACTTGGAAGTCGCTGTCACTCTTAAATAAGCTGCCAGTAAGAGTCATAATAATGAAAAACGTTGAAAAATAACGAATTTTTAATAATACCCATGTCTTAACAGTGCTTCTTTACTTTAGACGGTCAGCCTCAAGATCTTGTTTTGATATACAGTAACTTCAGAGTTGGTATTAAAGATAGACATGTATTTCAAAAATCTGGTAAAGAGGTGCCAACCTATCATTTCAATTATGTTGAGATCATGGATTATCTTTTAGCGAACCAATGACAATTTATTTAACAAACGTTTATTTGTGGCAATCGGAGCTAAACCTTGAGTCAGTAAATCTTTACTTCCAAGAAACTTAACTGAAATATTAATATTCTTTCTTAACAATACTGTTGTGTTATATTTTATATTCTTTCTTAACAATACTGTTGTGTTATATTTTATATTCTTTCTTAACAATACTGTTGTGTTATATTTTATATTCTTTCTTAACAATACTGTTGTGTTATATTTTATATTCTTTCTTAACAATACTGTTGTGTTATATTTTTTTAGAAAGCACCAAATAGCAGGATTCCAGTTTTAAACAAATTACCATTCTTACTCAAATAAATTTACTTTGAGCCCATTTGTTGGTGTGTGATTTATTGTTGATCATATAGGGCGAGATGAAAGGCAGTTACTAAATGTTGTAGGGTTTATGCCAGTTTGCAACAAGCGCAATTCAGTTTTAAAAGAAAATTGTGGTAATTGCTTGCAATAGAATGAGGACTATGTATGATATAGATCAAAACGAAAGTTGGATATTTTTCATTTGATGTATAAAATGCCCACGGATATTACCCAAAGAATTTTTGTTGAACTGAATTATGTCCAGAAAAGTCATATTTGGTGTAAATACTCTTTTTGACAGCTGAACTGAATCAACAGCGAACAATTCAAGACTGTGGATGTTATCAGGGTCTGTGGACTTATAAAGATCTTTTATAAGACAATTAGATACATTTGCTTACGTAAGAAAAACTCGAGCCATTTATTTATACCAAATCGCAAAACTCTGATAAAAGGTCTTCAATAAGACACCTTTTCTTATTATTCCAACCGACCCAGCACCGACGGCTGTAAATAATCCTGGTTAATTCTGGAAAAAATTGCAAATGAGAAAAAGGTCAATATAATAGTTATCAGCTTCAAGGCAACAGATAGGATTTCAGCCGTACGATGTATGTATGATAAGTTTTGATTGTGATAAACTATAAACTATAAATGTAACAGTATAGACAAAAAATCTGTTGTTGCAGTTTCCAATATTTTAATTAGGTTTGATATTTATACACTTAATGTACTTACTCCAGCTTGTTTTAAAAATCAAATATGTTTTGTTCGTTTGTAATTCTTTAATCTACTTTATAGAGGTATATACTGTTTGTATTTAAACAAAATACTTCAATATTTTAATTTACGGACAAGAAAACAACATTTAGCAAAGATTTATATTTCAGAAGTACATTGTTTCTTTTATGCCGTTATCAAATTATGACCTTTCCGCTTATAGATATAACATTCAAAACAGCAAGTTATCTTAATGCAATAAGTCAATGGATCGAAACAACACCCATATTTGTTATTAGTTATTGTATTAGGGGAGCATATAAAATAAAATATATCTGAAATCTAATACATATGAATTTTAAGTCAAATTTCGACTACTAAAAGATTCTGACCAAACAACATCCCCCCCCGCCCCCCCCCCCCAAAAAAAAAAATCTCCTCCCTCAAACCAATACCTCCACACCCCCCAAAGGTAAACTCCACTTAATTCCCTGACCTACATGCAAAGACCTTCATTTTAATGCCAATTCTCTTGTTATGAAAAGTGATCATTTTATCACATAATTAAATATCAAAAGATGACATTATTTCATATAATGATTACGTATTTTAGAAAACGTGATTATCATTCAAGAAAGAAAATATAAAGTAGACATGTCGATGAACAACAAATAAAACATGGAGTCTTTGAACTGTTGTTGCAAAATATTTTTTGTGCACTATTGGTTTCAAGCCACACTAGGTAGAAACGCTGTCATTTTTTACTTTAAATCAAAAAGTAAATAAAGTAAAATGGGATTTAGACATCAAACTACTTAATTTAAGAACGATTTTTACGTGGCGGTTTGCCATGCATGACGTGTAGGTTTTTGCATGTAATTTCTCAAATCAATATATATGTACTTCTTTTTTTTTTATACATATATCCACCCAGTGGCTCAACTAACACAGAGACTGGTTGAACCATATCCATCCACCAACCTCAGGAAAGAAAGCAGGAGTGGGTGTGTTTTAAAACAATTCCCGGGGGAGGGGCCCAAACCCACTGAAGTCCACGGGCCACCACCCATCTTGTTGAGCCCTTGTTAATTCAACTTGGGAAGATTAAACTACTACGATGTGGCATGAATTATATTTTATTATCACGTCATGTTCCATGTCTTTCGTGTGGTTCATAAGAATGCGTCTGCTGAAAATAGCTACAATATTGAAATTATCTGTCCATTCTATTTGTAAATAGAGTGGAGGTGAATTAAGAAATTTTTGCAAAGAAAATTTTACATTTCAACGAGAAGCCATCATCGTGAATTTAACCCATAGTAAAGCTAATTTTGTTGAGAGTAGTTTGTACCCCAGCATCTTGTACCCCATACGTCATCCTACGATGTAGCTCTTAAGGAGATCTTCTTTAAGTTGTAACTATTTAAGCGAGTTCCTATCATACGAAATAAGAATTTGGATTATGAAACTGGTTTGATTTCTGAAATGTTGAAGTGCAGTAATTTGCTATTGAAACTGTCAATAAATAGATGACGATTAAAATTTGTTTTAGAATATATGTCTCTTTGTTTTATTCAATAAAATAGGAGTGAGCAGACAAACTACCGGTGGATTTGAATTAAAGACGATGTTAAATATATGACAGTATGATTATAGTTTATGAGAAACATGTCGTACTGGAATTTTTAATATTGATTCTTTTAATGTTTATATTTCTTTAACAGCACTAATCACAAAACATTTTCAAGCTTTTTGAGTCTTTCATCAATATTTGATGAATTCTACAAAAAATCAAATGGAGAAATTGCAAACATCCCCGATGACACCTTAGTTTTAGGTTTGTGTAATGTTCAAAGATACTCGGTTAGCCAAAATCCGATCAATAAGATTACACTGCAGTCTTGTATCTGTTGACTAAGAAAACATTTCGAGAAGAAATCTTGTATAGTTAGTATTTCTATCATAATTTTTTTGCCCATCGTTTGTTAAAAATGTTGTAACCACGACAGTGAATAACTATTTGAAATGAATTCATCTTAATGCAAGAACAGGTAAATTATTTTCATTTCATTCATTCATAGAAGTTCTTAACAGTTCATAAGACGTCTTAAGGGCTTAAATGGGCTGGAACTTTTCTGTATAGCATATGGTCTCCTGCGTTCTGAGATCCAGCTGTTAGCTATTGTATTGTCTTAAATGGAACATTTAAAGATTTTCAGTCGGTAGTTCGTGTTATTTCACCCATTTATATATTGCTGGTTGCTTAGTTTGATCATACTGTGGTACATTTTTTTTTAAATATTGTATTTTTGTTTCTGGGGGTTCGGGGCCCACTAACGAGTTCCTATAGTAGTTCAGCCACTGTTTATATTTATATGGATATATTTGAGTATTGAGCTTAAAATTTGATTTTTGTGCACTTTTACTTTTGACGCCCAAATGCACTTGGTAGAAACATTAGGAGTGGAATTGATCGTATAATTGTATGTCTGTCAACTTTAAACTCACAATTCCTTATTGTCTTATAACTTATGCCGTTTTTAATCCAAACAGATGATTACTGAAAAGGATTAGAATGAAATGTTTATGTGTTGTGTTGATAGTATATTGCTGTGTCCTCATTGTGGCTAGTAATGATCCTTGTTGTACCAGTAATGCGTTTGAAACAGTTCTATCAGAAGCTGGTGGTATCTATGTTTCCAATGCCACCACTGTACCAATTGATGTAAGTAAAACGATATATTTTATAATATATAAAGCGGATGTCGCTTTTACTCTCATCATATCAAGGCGAGATAAATGTCTAATTTTCTTTCATTATGACTATAGTACACACATGGACTATGTTTGTTCGGTGTAACAGCCGTTGGCAAATGCAAATTCAACACCAATTTCAAATATTACTTGAAAAATGAAAGCCAGAATAACGTTCATCAGAACTTAATATAACGTGATGGTTTCTACTAAAAAACTTGATGAACTTATATTGCCAAAGTGCTTCCAAGACTGATTGCCATGGTATTGAAACTGCTATGAATTCTACATCGCTAAGTTAATTAGATACGTTGCAACCCTGGCGACGATATAAATCCCTAAGTAAAAGATTTCTTACGTTCATCTGGACTTAACACAACTGAACTGTATTCTACTTTTTTAAAAAAAGCTTGATTGATGGACACCAAGTTTAACCGACATAATTTGTCGAAGAAAATGATAACATTTTGGTTATCTTAGCTGATACATTGTTGGTGGAAGACAAAGAATTACTCTGCAAAAATGAGTGCATCAATATTAATTCCTTTCTACTAGTCTAATACGACAGGTTGTACATTGTTATATATTTATATACTTTAAATATTAGGTATGGAATAAAATGTACTATGATTTCAATAGAAAGATGATGACGTTAGAGACCCATACTAGATTATCAACTGGTTATTATAAACAAATAAAAATTATTATGGATTTCAGACAGGTAGGCACAGTTTTCCGGTTGCCCTAGAAAGCGACAGTTACGTTGCATTATACCATGTCGAAGATAGCTGTGTTTTTTTCTGTCTCTACATATCGTTAATATCGTGTCCAAATAATACATGTTTGATGCACTAACAATTTTCTAGTTTTCAGTTGTTAACGGTTGATCAGCCACTTTAAAGAAAATTAATTTCTTGTTTTCAGCAATTAGAATTTGCCATAGAGAAGGGTAATTGTACAGTTATTCCAGTAAAAGAGAGTATGCAGAAACCCTGTATACCAAGTAGGTCTCTTTATTACAAAACAAAATATGTCTGTAACACTACAGTTCGATATTTCATTGACAGTTTACTGAAGAGAGACTTACTCAAATCAATTGCTAATTTGTCGGTTTATGGTGCTTTCGATGGAGTGGTCTTTTCTTTCTTATTACACCTTGTAGTTTCAAAGGCGATTTTATTTATACTTAATAGTCATTAAAGCATATTTAATATTTTTTGAGAATGTCCAGAAGTATCCAATATGTTTTGACCGTCTTCTGAATGTGAGACTTTGATGTAATACTCTCAGTTGTTATATAGGGAAGGGAACAATCATATTCACAATGTCAAGCTATAACGATCTGCGTCTTTTCTTACATCACAGAAGTTTATAAATAGAGTGATTTGATTAACATTGTGAATATGGGGATATTATTCAGGTTCTTCTAGAAATCAAAATAGATTTACATTGCATTTCAGAAAATGCTACATATTTAGGATCAAATTCTATTGGTTATGCTGATGAAGCTATAGAGTTTACTTCGTGGGAATTTGAAACTCCAAACTCTGATGTTAGTACCAAGTTAACGGTCAGTAGTAAAGGTTGTGTACCATTAACACAATCTATGTATGGTACTGTAAGAGGATGTAAGTATTTATTTTATTTCTTTACAGTGAACCGTGGCATGTGTCTACATACGACCCCAAACAGTAAGAAGTATAGTATTGTTACACCATCGTTACTGCTCATGGGATTAATATCATTATGCTATACTATTTAATATTGCAAATAAAGGTCGCTTAGGAACACCCAGTTAACTTCAGATCAGTATTATCGGTATTCATATTTTAGTACTGCAAAATACACGTATGTCCATTGGTATAATCACGATTTGTGGAACGCTCTATGTTTCATTGAAAGGTAAATCCTAAATGTTATTAAGTGTAAAGTGTATTATTGTTTGATAAGATAAGGCAAGGAATGAGACATGTGCCACTCCATTGGTTGTGATCTAAATCTTCTGTTTTCAAAATATCTAAATAGACACTTTAAGCTTTAAACACCCATGAATAAGGGAGAAAAAAAATTCGAAACTCGAACCAACCTAATTCGTACATCTCTATTTGACGAGGAACAGAATGTAATTTTAGGCTGTATGAATGGTCAAACGAAAAATCCCACAAGTCGCTGGTAACCGACATTGACATTTACAAATAACCCCATAAAATATCGTACCTTTCACAATGTGAATCAACTACGTTCTAGACAATCATATGATTTAGGATTGCACACGACGATAAACTAGATAAATGTTTATACAACTTTTTAAGACAACAAATATTGTCGACCTGTTTAATTATGTATTTTTAGTCGGAGACGGAACCGCCTATTTCTGAATATTATTGGGACCCTCGCATCATAGCGATCACGAGTTGCATATGGTTGCGAAGAATACCGGTCATAAGTTTCGAACGCAACTCTCGTGCAACTGAGTTGTGAGTTGCGTATGGTTGCAAATCATTAAGTGGTCATGAGTACCGAACGCAATGGTGATCGCTATGGTGTTAATTATTTTATTCAAAAACCAGTCTGCTCCATTCTGTTATCACAGAAATATATATATGTCTTTGTGTTACAGATAAAACTGCAGTTAGTTATACGTTTGCTAATTTTAAGCCTATGATAACAAACGATGCAGTGTTTCAGATTCCAGCCAATTGTCAACAAGTTCATTCTCATGTAAGTTTGTAGAAATATTAAAACAGAACTCGAATCATGTTGTTTCACACAACTGACCTATTTTCAGCTTGAGTTCCTACTGAAGTTTGCTTCTATTACATACAAGTTGTTCGGTGCGCACTTAAATTACATGGTCCGAAAATGATTATTACAGATCGCCCCATGATACAGCAAGAAATCTTTCCGATTCGTCGATTTGATTTTTATTAGTTTTCATTCTGTAAAATGCCACTTAATTTACCACTGATCAAAAGGATATCACCCAAATTACCATTTCCATTACCGTATCAGAGGCATTAAAACAAACGAGAATATCAATCATAAATTCGTATAACATAATAACCACAACAGTTTTCGATAATCTAGTGTCCATGTGATTAATAAATAAGATTGAAGGTGATGCCAGGTTTTTGTAAATAGAGCAAACTTATTGTACTCCAAGTACCCCTAACAGACCCCTTTTGATAAATGATCTCATCAAATTCAATCTTAAATAGAAACAATGAAGTAACCATTTTCTTTCTGTTTTCTTTAATAAAAGGATATCAAATTAGTTGGAAGAACGGCATTGGAAGGCATAAAAGCTATTTTCAACTGATACTGGCGCACATTATTGGAAAATTGCGCATCATCTGATTTCTGGTGAAGGAGTGGATCTGGTATTGGACAATACAGTTTGCTAGACAATTAGTTTAGTTCTTGCTTGCGCAAATATCAGTCAAAAACGCTTTAATTTAGTGTAATTTAAACTTAATTTTATATTTTATTTTTATATTTATTTTTTGTATTTTGATCTATATGTATATAATATAGAATATATTGAGTAAAAAATGATTCTTAAATTGATTTTAATAGAAAGTATTTCTGGGGATATATACCCGAGTCTGGGTTAAAACACAAATAGTAGTAACTTATGCTAGGTTTACATTTCCCGTCGGTCACCGTAGTTAAATTTCATGTCAGTGAACAAAACAGGATGGGCACACTTGAAAGACTGTAATAATGGGACCACATTTTAACCCGTCAAAAGTTCGCCACGACAGGCACGATGCGGATGCAAAACCTATATGTGGTAAAATTTGGTGAACGTGACTAGCTTGTCGGAAGGGCTAAGATGGAATTACATGTCAAGTCGTTCAGTAAAGACTTTAAATCGAGCCTCAGCCATCTGATAGTTGGTAAATAGAAACATCATAATGAAAAATAATGCATAATAAACCAAACATTACACAAAAGTAGGTACTCAACTGAACATATAAATAAACATTTTTGGATTATTAGGAAATAAAAAGTGCATGATCAAAATTGAGTTTCGACTTTCCTCTTGAAAGTAAGGGTGGAACTTCAACGTCGATTTTCTCGGAAGTCTGAAAAAATTTCAAATTTCTGTTTTCGACTGAAATAGTCGCAGGACATGTTAAACTTCGTTTGCAACAAAAACTTTTGCAAAGTTATGACCATTTTAGTTTGGGGATGGGGTCGACATTCATCCTATGCAGTCTTGTTACACAGGGTGGTTTAAAGACCAAAACTTTGACAGACTGTCCCTTCGAAAACTATCAAAGTTTCAATTTGGACTGAAGATACACATCCACCTGAAATTGCTATGTTCCAAATTCAAATGCTTACCTTGCATACCCTACTTGCTACAGCACGTTTAGTTTTTCCAAAACCATCCAATAAGAACCTCTCGGGTCAAAATTGAGATGTAAAGTTGCAAGTTCCAAATTTCAATTCCATATTTTTTTGTATCAGACGAAGCTTCTGTTTCAGCCAAAAACTTGTAATATTTTTAAACTTCCGATAAAATCATCTTTTAAGTATTAACCATACAAATTACTTCAGATCTGTTAGCGCCAGAAGTACAATTGCAACCTTACATCTCTAATAGTTTTTAAGTGGTAGACTGTCAAAGTTTCCTTCTAAACCCCTACCTGTTAGACCAGAATAGTCAAGACTGATATTATATCACAAGATGAAACCGGGCATAACTTGAAGTTTGAGTTTCAAACCTACCCCTAGATGAAAATTACGATAGCTTGTCCAATTTTGATCCGTCTAGTTTGAAATAGAATTCAGGAAAAAGCGAGAAATATATCCTAAACCACGTTTGGAAATAATACTAGTGAATGCATAATGTATCTTTTTCAATATAAGAAACCGAATTCTGAATGTAGTATTAAAACGTCTGTAAAATATTAGTTGTCTACGTTGCAACAAGATATCCCAATTGATAACAATAGCAATAGATAATTTATCATGCATAACAAACTTGAAAAAAGAAATTGCTCACGTCTCAAATCAACACTTCTCATTTCAAAAAGGCAATTGGGCGTCCTTTGTCCCTATTTGTATATAAATATCAATGACCTCGTAGACAGATCTTATTCCTAGTGTCATTTGCATTATGTTGGAATCATAATTAAGATAAATAAAGTATTACATTTATCGATGATACCCCTGGTCGAATATATTACATATTACATTCGTATATCAAAGGAGGCCACACATGGTGATTGAAATTGCCTGTATAGACAGGTATGACAAAATTGCATCAGTGGAAGAAAACAATCATTTCTTTGTGTTAAAATTTTGTTTATTTGAACTGTATACAATCGGTCTTGTAAAGTAATATTAACAAATATGATACACCGAAAATAAACACAAAATTAAATAATAATAGATATTATATATGTAATTATAAAATTTATAAATGCTATAAACAATTTCATCATTTGTCGACCCTTCTCAGCATGTAATAGATATTTGTGACCGTTTTTGGCTGACAAAGGCTAAAAATTTAACTTCGCTTTCAAAACGATTCTATTGATTCATGGGAGATAACAAAAAATATGATTAAATATTAAGAATTTGAGCCAAATATCCAAACCAAACTGCCGAACAACATGATGCATTATTTTCAAATGTGACTCCATCAATGTCCACTATTAAGTCTATTACATTTCGAATTTGCTTTCAAATTCAAAATTTCAATGGAATTGGTACCATACTATTCTATGGAAATCAACGTGTCGAAACATCTCTAAAAAAGGTGTGTAACGAGGAAAATGATTTGAGATTGTTAGAATCTACCAGACTATGCTATAGATTTAGAAAGCATTTGATTTTACATTTCAACATATACTATACTTACACACAGACGTTTTTAAGTGGCCATGAAATGGTCCAGGAATACAAGGTAGACTGCATAAAATTATTGTTTCAGAGCTTAATATGCTTCTTTTTTAAGTCCGAAAAAACATTTTTATATTGAAGTACCAGCGACTAAGTGTCCACCTAACCATCTGTCTGCCTTTCCGTTATAGAAGTTTACACAGGGAAGGCAGAAAGGTGGTTAGGTAGTAACTCATTTTCTGGAATTACAAAAGAGGCACATTAACCTCTGTGACAGCAATTGTCTGGGTTTAAACGACCATTGAGCCTTTGCGTAGTCAGAAGTGTTTCAAAGGATGCAATCTTGTGTAAAATAAATCGAGGTGGTCATGCATTGCTCAACTATTATCTTTCATGAATCAAAAGAATCTTCATGACCTTTTCAAGAAAATGAGGTAGTAACTTCCTGGGATTTTGAAATTATACTGTTTTGAATTAGAATCTCGTAGGTAAATGCATATTTGGTATCCCCATACTGAGATAAGCAATATAATATTATATTACTTCCTACATAATTGTCCTACTTCCTTTTGCCCCCTCCCTCATTATTCATATTACTCCATCAGATCATGAAACAACCTATAATTCTGTGTAACTTTATATTGTCCTAATGAATTTTTTAACAATTATTCTCATTCCCTTTAACAAATACAGTACATATTTCGGCAAATTATGCGTCGGAACAAAGGCCGCATACCCAATATGAATTTCTCTTTTTTTTAATTCTACAGTCGACCTGAATAAACAAATGACATAGTCATATATTTTATACTTATTGTCATGGAATGTTAAATTATCATAAATTATACTTTTTAATATCGTCGGTCATCATATATACATGTTAACTGCCGTTTCCTATCACACGCCATAGCGGCACAACCCATTCTTCTAATAGACGGTTCCATCATCTAAAAGAAGAAAAACCATGACTTTACGGAGATAGTTCCCATGACATTCAAGGGGCGCTCAATTGGTGAGTTCTGCACCTTTGTGATTCAACCGGAAGTTCAATAAAAAAAATCTAGAATTGAAACAATCGGAACCTGTTCAGAAATAATCAACCGAGCGCCTCCCTTTTATGAAATACAGCGGAAGCTAATTTTATGCCACTTCCAGGACTTTAACAACACTTTAGTTAAAATTCCACTAATAAAATTACACCCGCAATATATTACCGATGTCGTGAAGTTACTGCTCGTGAGAATGTTATAAAAGTTCTGGAATTGACAAAAGTTGCTATTAGCTTGATTTCAGTCCTATTAGACAAGAAACTAACATGAACATGAAAATAATAGTCCGTGAAATGTAAATGTATAACATATAATTAAATTAATCCTTATAAATACACGGTGAAAAATTGTCAACGTGACATTTTCATGGTTTCTGATTTCAGGGTGGATTTCGGTCATATTTGGTAAAAACAACACACACACTGTTGATTGAGCAGAGATTATATGTTGAGGCCAATACCCTGGTTTAAAAGCTTAAGACAATATTTTTAAAATATTCGTCTAATCAAAAGCATCAACAGGTGGGTGCGTAAAATTATTATATCAGATGATTTTAAGTCAGAAAAATTCTACTTGCATTAGAATTATGGTTGCATTTCTTGGAATCAGAAGGAGTTCGACATCCTGAGTTTAAATGAATATTTACATCTTCACCTTCATCAGCCCATTCATATATTAATTGTTGAACAGCTTGACTCTGGAATAACAATACATGATAATAATCCTAACCTTTTATCATAAACCATATAAAATATAGTGAATGATAAGTTGATATGACATACCTAGTTGAGTTTCAGATTCTATTTCTTAAGAATATTCAATGTATTGTTTAATAACTAGGTTACTGAAACTGATTCATTAAAGCGTTTGACATTTTTGAAAGATAATCCTACCCAAATGAAAAGGAACAATCATTGGACGGATTTCTATTCTTGTGAATAAGCTTTGTTCACTTAAGCTTTTTGCCCGATTTTTGTTCTACTGTAAAAAAGGTTTAATAAGGATTTTTGGAACATATTATCGTTATCAAAAATACCAGATCAGATTGTAAAGGTACAACAAAGAAGTTTTAAGATTATACCGCTGGCTTTCTTAGAATTGTCAAACACAAATTCATATTCATTTAGTTTCCTTTTAGTTTACAAAGGTGAGTGTAAATAATCTACTATTCAGTCATAAACAGTATGTACTCAAATTTGCATTGAATTAAATTACACATTGAATTGTTTGTAGAATTGATTCAAAGGAAATTTTTTCTTCTATGTCTGAATTAACAGGAACCACAGACGTCGGAGTGTAAAGTGGAATGTTGGTATTTGACGAAAGTGTATCCTATACGCTCTAAGCATAAATGTGTCAGAAAATATGTCAAATTTTGGTTGATTTTGGAATTGGGTCGAGAGAAAGTTTTTTAAAAATATCATTCCCGGTGGCATTACTGAAGTTCAAAAGTACATAATGTTGACAAGTGACGTATTATAATGGCCATTCGTACTCTGTTAAATATTATATTTTATATTATGAATCTATGATAGCCTATGATATTTATATCAAATATTCATTATCATTTGTTCAAGGCACCCTGTTGGTGTATTTGGTAATAAAAGCCCTCTACTGTGTGAAAATAATATAATAATTTTTTTAAAATTAATGACGCCAAACTAGATCTACATAACCGTAATTGTAATGGATGAATTAGCCAACAATAGTGTAAAATTTCAACGCCTATCATGTAAAAAGTAGGTCTGTCATTTTAGACATGGCGGTTTATTTTTTGTGCATAGCTCAAACTGAAATGAGACATTTGACAAGTTTTATACTATTGTACTGTAAGAGAATGCAACATTTACTAGACAAGTTAAGTAATAGATAATAGCTATGCTTTTCAAACCTGGTCAAATGACATTTATCTTATTTGTCAATGGGAATTTATTTGACAACATGCATTGTAATAAGTAAAATAATCATCAGAATCATTTAATATTATTTGAATTGTTTGGCATATAAACATTGAGACAACGTGTTAAATCTTGCTTATTCATCACAATTATTTTACATTATAACTCTGAAACGAAAATGAAATGAATGGAGTTTTACATTATAACTCTGAAGACATTCTTTCTGGTAACTGATAGTAGACGAGACGAGACGTACGCTACAATGATTTACATAGTCTTAGTTGAAATACAATCTAAATTAAATAAAACAAAATGGATTCATGATACTACATGAAAAGACAAGCAATGTTTTTATAGAAGCAACTTTTTTAAAAAAAATTATAAACGATATTTTATTACTCCAAAAAAGATATGATAAAGATAGTACAAATATTAAAACAGAACTTAAACATGTTATTACACAGAGTTTCAATACAATATTCAGACAAATGACAAAGATTGTATACAAACATAATCTTTTTCAATATTTTTTATAAATATCATTGAATAATGTTTCCTAAAAAGTAATTCAGATGCTTACCCTATCTATTTTACCAAAATTTGAATAAGTTTGTCTTGGACCAGGATATTCTACGTCACATCTTATAACATAGGACGCCCACATCTCTAATATATTATTCCATTCCTGGAAAACAAAAAATTATAATTAGGGTTAGCAAAAGGTTGGACGTAATGCCCCGAGTTCATAGATGCAAACCTTACAGTGTTCTCTCATTTACCTTTAGTACGCAATTTCCTTACCATCAGGAGAACCAGAAAGCGCAATTCGGTGCCATTTTACCTCTAATACGCAATTCTCTGGTATAACTCACCTACTAGGAGAACCAAAAGTTCAATTTGGTACCCTTTGTATAAGTAATATATCCGGAGGGTGTCCCCTTTAGCTACGGACCTGTACTGCCTGTCAATTCACAACAGAAGAAGTGCACACACCATGAATTCGATATTATTCCCATTGAAGCCTGTAGTTAATTTTTACTTCAATCTAAGGATTTGAACCACCTTAAACCATTTCATTTTTTACCAGTTCCCTAATTAAAAATAGGGTTCTCAACTTACCAGCTTTCTAAGTCTTTTGTTTTCCCTCATACGATTTTGAACCAGCAATACATATTGCTTATCAGTGGAGCTTAATGGACCTATGATGTAAAATCAATAATATTAAATTTCAGAAATTTTACATTTCAAAAATGTTACAGACAGTGTCAATGAAAAGAAATCAAATCTAAATAAAAAATACAAGAGACATGTTCAATCGAGATAAAAAGAAAAGAATTTACAATTTGCCCTACCTGAGTTTGGTAATATCGGACCGACTACAGTATTCGAGTCTCGAGGAGGATTGGGAGCGACGATGTTTGCAGGTGAATCACTACTATCTGAAAAGAAACCGCCATTAATCATTTTTGAGACACAAAATAAGTGTCAGATAGAAGAAAACTAGAAATTTTCAATGAAAAGCATAGAGTATTCATATTTGCTTGATTCGTGGTAAAACTGTCTTCACATTCAGTTTTTGGGGCCAAGCTATAGTAAGAAGCTTGCTCACTTTTCATATGAAGTAAACAGTAAACCGTGGCTACTTGCTATGCATAGGAGATACTGATACGGTTGGGAAGAGTATACTACAGTAATTTTTGCCGTGGCAGATTTCCTGACTGCACACAACACAGTGTTGCTCATTGCAATGGCTTAATTTTCCTTTGAGTTTCAATTTTATACCCGTATACTTACAAAGACTAGAGCAGAGATTGTTTCGACAGCGAGTTTCTTTCGGACATCGAGAACATGATCGACCTCGTTCATAAGGGTAATTACCAATGAGACGACCTCTTAAAGAAAATATCACAGAGTTAAAGGGTATTTCTATTTGATAATAGTCTCAGGTTAAATCAACAATAATCATATGTATTTATGACTAATTAAAACTTTGGGTTAGTTTGTATGGCAAACTGTTCTGACATTTGGCATGTTGAATAAATGTCTTAAAGCTAGGCGACTTGTATCAATGTATTATTATGTTTGAAGGTGTGCTTATAGTAAGCAAATCATATTGTGTTTTAAGAACGAACACGACATCTTAACGGTGACTAACCATGGCAAATTCTACAGAATTAAAACCCCTTAGACAAGGAAAGACAATATTACCTTGGTGAATAAAAGCAGACAAAAAGTGAAGAATGACGAACATTGTTTCTTCCATAACCCATTGTAGCACAATGAGCCATACCACAACCAATTCTGTGCGATTCAGCCATCACCATCTGCAAACGAAAGGTTTGTTTTAATAGTATCTACCTCCTGGACCAGGTATAACGAGCAGTTGTGGGACCAAACATGGATTGGTTTCGATCAAGACATTGTAAATCTTGTAAACGATCGTCACCCGAGAACCAGACTGTTCTATATCCACAAAAGTGGTTTTCGAAAAAATTGAGTTCAAAGTTTCAATGCCACAGATCTTTTTACCATTTCATTGAAACTAAGCAAAACTTTGCATACTTGTTATTACTGGTCTAAATTGACTAAATATCATTACTTTTCTATCTAGTACGCCCCCATTTAGTGGTAAAACATGATTTGAAGGAGAAAGAACAATTACCTAAGAAAAATCATGAAAATTCTGAGAACCAGACTGTTCTATATCCATAAATTGACATACAAAAGCTGTCTAAAGCCAAGTAAATACCCTAAGCATATATTTTCATTCATATAATGTAATAACAATCCAGTTCATATGACAAAAAAGTATCAGAACCATTATGTTCTATCTCCAAGTCACGTGATCTCAATCTGAAATCCAATTGGATAAAAATACACATAGAACAGTATGGTCCTAACAAAAAATAGAAAAGTGGGATTTTTAGAGTTGAAAAAACTCATTTAAAATGATATTAGAGGTCTGAAATTTGGTACGGACATAGAACATGGGCTCTTATCTACATTTAATATGCTAAATCAATTTTTCACAAAAGTGGACATAGAACATTCTGGTTCTCAGTATGGGTTACTTGAATTATGCTATATGCTGAAATTTGTTTTATTTTTCATTAGTAATGAAATTACCTGAACAAAAGAGCAAGCACTGCCACAATCTCTTCCATAGTTAAAATACTGTTTTTCTTTGTGCCAACTATTTAGTGCTCGTCTTACCATTTTTCGCCTAGAGTGCCAGTTTTTAGCGTAACCTGAATCGAAAAAGAGATTTTCTCCCCGAACATTACTCCTTGCTGGTCTTTCATAACGACATTGACGTGCATATTGTTCAGCTTTTCTTGCTAATGATGTGTCCCATTCCTGAAATATATTAATACTACACCTTAGGGAGATACGACTCAAAGAATGGAAGGAAAAGTAAAATAGTTTTGTCCGCAAAAAGATGCTTATGGTTCTTAATATAGATTTCCATATGTATAGTTCCATCGTTCTATTCAAGATAAACGTCTGTTTTATGAGAACGAATATTGACAAGCATTGAGTGATTTGTGGATCCAAAAATAATTCTGATCCAAGTATTTAGGAAATTAAATCTTTGGGTTCCTTTAAGCATAATATGGTGGTGATTGTAAAATCATACAGCAATCATAAACACAAACAATACTATTATTATACTATACGCTAAATTAACCTTTCTTATATGTCTCTTTATGATTTTCTTAGTCACGCCTTATGCGCTGAATTAATTCCTTAAAGGAAATTTATTCATGTATGTTTTCGTTCTTTACAGCATATAAAATGATCACTTTTATTTGAGTCTGGGTGACAATGGGCTTGAGATGTAATTAACATGCTTTTACGAGTCATTCTATCCTTTGAAAACCGACAAGAAAGGTAGCGAAACGATAGGTGATGCACATAAAATGTTGTACATTGTACTAAGTATTTGTTATTATTGGAGTAAAAAAACTATACGTTCTAAGTGAAAACTATGCAAAATAAGAATAAACAGCAATTATTACTGACCAAATTCTTTAAGCTCTGCTGTAAAAGTAATACTTCAAGCCATGGTTTCGTAAACCATCTACCCCTTTAACAACTTTCTTAGGTCCAGTTTCACACAAAACCAGTGGGAAAACATAGTCAAGGAAACAGGCACTGTCTACTATTTCTAAATTTCAAGAGCATACAGTTTCTAACGAAACAAAAATCTATTGGAGATATGGTGATTGTAAAATTATGGTACCACTAGCAGCAACAGCTCAATGTTGAAAATATTCAACACACATAACTCTTGATGAAACTTAAAGGCCATTTCCAAATCTGAGATAAATTCTGAGCAAATGTACATTTTCGGAGTGACACTATCATAGCTGACTTAACCATCGAATTTACGTAGCATAGCTGCACAACTAAATTAGACATAGCACAAATATAAAATTTTGATCTTAATGTTTTGCCAAATATGAGAGCCCGTTAGTCACAGTATTTTAGTCTCTTTCAACATTTAACTAACCAATTAATTAGTTGCCAATAGTAAAAATTTCGTCAATGAAATTTTCATGCTGTTGTTAGAAGTGTTTTGCTTAATTCAATCTGTGAAAAAATTAAAAAGTTTCAACATCCATATAGGAAATATTTTGAATTTATTTTCAATTGAAGTGTTTAGTTCAGATGTTATGTTTAGAATAGTTTTGCTTAATTCAATCTGTGAAAAAATTAAAAAGTTTCAACATCCATATTGGAAATATTTTGAATTTATTTTCAATAGTCTGAACTTATATAATATAGAATTTGGCTTATCCATCTTATCTTATTTGTCTAGACATTGTAAATTTACGTCATTGTCCATCTGTACCCAGTATAGGTGTCTTTATATATTTCTTTGAATGAAAATAAAATGCATTAAAATGCACATCAAGATCTATTTAAAGAGAAAAATGTGCATCTGTAAATAGGTGTTGTAAATGTCAATGAGTTATGTAAATAAAAAACAGTGGACAGATTTACAGGTAGATAAACAATTTATAGGTTAATAGAGCGAACCTGTCTCCAGACTTTTATTGACCTTTTTAACTTTAATTTACAACCTATATCTATATTTACATTTTACATTTGGCTTTAATTTGATTGAATATATTTAAAACCAGGGACAATATATAATGTTAAATTACATATTAACACAGGTAATAACAGTAGATCTATTTTAAAACATATATACCCAAACGCAAGTTTAATTAAACGTTATTGCTGTGTATGCTCATTTTGCTAAAATAACTGCTAATGTTTGATCCAGAAAGAATATTGAAGATTAAACGGGAAATGTTATTTGAATAGCAGAATAAGAAACTCGCTGATTCTGTGTGTGTTTTTTAAGTCTGTTAAAATTGCTGATGATCATCATATCATGATTTGTTATTTGTACACCCACACATATTTTTCCGTCCTCAATAAGAACACAGAAGTGTTTTTTAGGGGAGAATGTATTTTATTATTCCCGTGTAAGCCTACAACATTTTTTTTAAAAACACTTAACGTGACATGATGTACACATAAATCAAAATCTGGAACCTATCTTTAATCCCCAAAAATGTAATATTAACCTCGTTTTATATGCAGGTGTGTGGTAAATTAACAAATATGTTACTATATGTAATCTGATGCAAATATAAATTACCTGTGTCACAAGCTAAACTATTAAAAATACCTAAACCATCACAAACACAGACAAAACAATAGTCATGCTACTCTGTACATACAATGTTGAAGATGTTGACGATATGAACATCTATAATTATGCTCACGGTCCAATTAGTTTCAATTACAAATATGTTAGTTACAGTTTATTGTCAAAATTTACAAATTGTTCATATTTGAATGATATAGGATATATATGAATGATATAGTTTTTAAACTGAATATTTATTTACAGAATTTTCCTTCCAAATTTTTCTCATGGAGATTCAGCTAAAGGTTAGCTATATACAACAATTTCAAATTAAAAATTCTTATCTAATTTTGATTATTTATTTTTCAACACATATGATCGCAATTAAGCATATTTTCTAAGGATGGTTTCTTCAAAACATATGATGGCCATCAAGCATATGCCTTTTCTAGGGATGGTTTCTTCAAAACATACGATGACAATCAAGCAAATGTCTTATTTAGGGATGGATTTTATTGAAACATATGATGACAATCAAGCAAATGCCTCTCGTTGGGATGGAATGGCATTGCCCTGGACAGATCTCACTAAACGGAAATCGTATAATGTAATATGATTGAAGGAAATCAAAAACATAAAAATTGAACAACTTGAATTTCGCAAACACCTACACATCATTGACAATAATCATTAATCATTAATTATTTTTTACGCCTTAAATAATTCAACTGACTTTGTCTTGTTTAACACCGGAACAATTAAAATTTTGATTTCACCGGAAAGCAAAAAATTCTACTATCTACTTGAGACTAATTGAGACAAAAGGAATGCGATGTATTGTTGAAATTCATTGACTTCCACTTGGTCTATTTGCTGTCCGGACAAAACGTCATTTTATTGACTACCAATACTTCAATATAAAAATACTATAATCCATATATTTTCTACAATTTATTGTTTTGAGAATCCTCACGACATACTTGAACAAATAATAAAGATGAATGACTCTTTCTACTTAATATTTAATTTGTCTTTTTGTTAACAGTTGTTAATGTCATTGTTAACACGTATTTTTTTTTAAATATGCATGTTTACCTAGGAGAGCATCTGGCACTTCATTTGTACGACGTATTCCAATATTCTTAAAAGCTCAAAACTGTGAAGAAGTCTTGTGAAGCAAAACGTAAAAATCATGTTTTTGAAGGCACTGCGCCTCAAAATCGTACATTTCTTAAAAATGTCTGTATATTGAGACGATCCAATGGTTCAGTCTGATGTTACATTTCACAATAACGCCCCAGTAGGTATTTTGTGAAATTCAATTGAAATACAATGACAGTACTCAACTTAATGTATTCACGGTGTGTTACATTTTGCAATTTAAATGTATTTAAACTTAAATTACTATCTGTGTGATAAGCGTGTCTGTATTGACATAAGATTGCTTTAACCCCATGTTTTAAAGTTTTAAAAAGTACGAAGCGGTAGTTGTTACGCAGTACAATAGTTCTTGGAACAAACTATTGAAGAAGTAATTTCCTACATGAAGCTTTTTTACATTCATTGCTAGAAACAGAACGTCTGAGGCGTTATGGTGCCGTGCAGTTGTTTACGGAACTGAACTGGTGCGCAATCTACCTACCTACCTAATTCAAACTTTAGTGGATTCACTGCACCCATACTAATTTGTATTTCAAAATTTCTAGAAAGAAGGTCTAAAAATTAGAAGTATTAAAATGAACATCTTAATGTCATACTTATTTTTGAATGTTAGTTTTAGACATAGATATAGATATATAACAGTCTATGCTGTGCATCAGTTGTGAAATTTGAAAATAAGATTTGTACTAATGCGTTTGTGTGACAATAGATAATTCAATATGTCGTTTCTGATCGAAAACACACATTTTTATGACAAAACCATTAAAAACTTAACTTAAAGCAACTCAACAAATCAATAAAGCTAATTTATCACTTAACGAAAATAACGTCATCTAATTATAACGACAATATCCGGTTATGGTATTTGTTCAAAACCTCTATTGGAAATTATGTTATGTTAAGGTCATAGGGTGGAAAACTGTTTTAAGAAGGTGGATTTTCTATTAAGCTGTATTATCTTATTATTGAAATATTTAATATAATAATATTCCTAGGTGATATATTAACTTGAGTTCGACAGCTTTCTTAACCTTAATAATATTGATTTTAAGGGAAAAAAACGAATCTTCTAGTATATGGTGAAATTTCTTGCATTAAAATGTAGTAAAGTAAAACTTCATTTCTTTTGTAAAATGTTGAATATTGCAGTCTAATGTTACTGGAATCACTTTTATAAAATATGACATTAGCAAAATATAATTAATCAATAAGTCTTTCAGTTATCAGTTGTCCGATCAACTACAACTATGACATACAAGAATTAATCAATATGAAAGTCCGAACAAGAAATCATTGAACGTTTTAAACTATTATGTTGCTAAAATGAGACAGTATTAATATATTGTAAGCAATGTGCATTTTTAAAACCATATTCAAATTCAAATCGTCACACTTAATGAGCGAACTGAATGAAGAAAAGTAGTCCATGTTCTCATAAACAACAACGCGCATTGCGTTAAGTGAAAATATAGAAATTATCCTGACAATGCCATTGATGGCCTACCAGCAAGCATCAAAGCGGGAATTTATTATATTTTGATCAGACGACTATGATCAATGACATTTTTAGAGAAATTATAACAAATTTAAGGTGATGAAAAACTGAAAATTCTACTTACCATTTCCCGCATATTGGATGCTCGTTCAGATCGACGATATTCATTATGCCTGTCTAATATAATATTACGAAAATTACCAATATCGGCAATCCCTGTAATACTAATACTTGGACTAATAAAAGTCACCAGTATCACTACTTGACTAATTAATCTCATACTAATAATACTAATCAACTATGCCTACTATTAACAAACATTAGCCTAAATCTTGTCTAAATCCTGCCTTCATCCAGTACACACACTCTTTATAAACCTTCGCTAC